ATTCTTATACCAATTTTTTTTCATTTCTCTTGTTACTTCGAAGACATACCGACAACATTATGCCTTGGGCTAAAAGGGTCTATAATGGTTTGTTCTTTATAAGACTTGAAACCGTGTATAATGATCTGAACAAATGTTCAAATTAATCTAACGTTTAACGAATTTCGTTTACTGAGGACACTGACGACTAAATTTTTGGTACCTGCTTAATATGCATTATTCTTATGAATCCTAATATTTGAACGAAATAATTCTTAAGACGCGTTTCGCGTTCGTGTGGCGGTGATATAAGCCACCACTTTCGGGATATGTTATAATAGAATTTACATTTATATGAAAAAGATTGGCCCTATTTTTAGAATGACAAAAAACTCCGCAGATCTCTTACTTTATTGAAACTGAAATCACATGGTTTTTATATGGTTGAGTTTTAAATTAGTGTACATATCTGTGCCCGATAAAAATCTAATGTCTTCTAAGTATCTAATGAATGAAGTCTATACGAAACATGGAAAATAATTACAAAACAACTGGTGTGTTTGATCAAAATCCTAACCATCCTAACCCAGTCGATAGGATGCATCTTGATTGAAAATACTTTTCTCTGCGTCAATTTTCGTGCGTTCGTCTTTGATCATTCTATTTGAAAAAATTTTTTAATGTTAAATAGATCTCTCCACAATGTTTAAAGAAGAACACTATTCCTAGAAAATCAAGGAAAAAAAAAGTAACATACCGATTGTCCTTTCTTGGATCTTCTCCCTCTACACCAATACCAAAGTTTGGAGTTTTGGCATCAAGGACATAATGGTTATCGCAATTTGGACAATATTCATCTGTTTCATCAAAGTTCTCCATATCTTTGCGAAAGACTTTCTTACACTTTTTGCAAGCGAAGACCATCTCTATGGTTTTGCGAATCTGGTGATCGGCAACTTCTGCGTGACATTCGGCACAATCGAACCATCTCTTACAGCAAGGGGCTCGAATCGAGACCTGTGGAAGGCAAAAGGCGTCAGATTATGCTTTACCAGATCTAAAAAAGAAAGCAAATCAAGAAGAAGGCTACCTGGGCGTTAAGTATATGTTTGCACATTCTTAAAGTTTTAACGAAATGTGAAAACTAAAAAGTTGCTATAAACCATTTTCTTGGTTACACGTGTACGCGTTTTTGGTTAAGAAA